TCAGACCAGGTTTAAAGAATTTGCATATATATTTCTTCTTGCACATTTTAGTCTCTAATAAATCCTGTAGTTAAAAAATTAGATATTTAATATTATTTTACCAAAATTACCCACTTTTGACTCCTAATATCTATCAGTAGTTGAGTTCTTCAGGGCACAGTTGGGAAATGACTGACTGCTTATATAAAAGGGCCCATCAAATTGAATGCTACCATTGTGCTATTTACAAAAAAAGGATTTAGATATGAGAGAATTAAAAGAAAACTATTGTAGCTTCAGGTATGATTTCTTTATTTCAGTAACATTTTCAGGACAGAAAGAACATCAAACTCACCAAACTGATCTTAATACTAAAAAATTAACAGTGATCAAAAATTAATTTCTTAAAGATGAGATATCAAGTTCCCTAACATTCACCTAGGAAAAGGCAAATCTTGGACAATGGAAGATTAGAATTGTTTTAACGGGATGTTAAATGGTGAGCTTGGCTGAAGCAGCAAGTTATAGTTGCATTCTGTAAAACTGATAAAGGAGGTTTTGCAAACCAGTTACACATTATGAGACCTTGTACCCACAAGATCTTGAAAGAGCCTTGAAAGGGCTGAGTAAGTGGAAATAGAAATGGATTTTGTGGAGAATTATGCTGTGGTTCCTCGCCTCTGCCTCCTGGGACCACCAAGGGCAAGGGTAGGGTGTTGCTCACTTCACTCTTGCCTGCAGTTGAGAGGGGTACTGGTGCATGACTCTGGCCTGGGGGACCTGTGTGGGCTTGAAGCTACAGTGGGAAGGGAGAGGCCACATGAGCTGTGTTGGGCCTTCTCTCCAAGAATCAGGCACTGGATGTGGGCTAGTGGCAGATAGGCAGATAGACTGTTCTAAGTCCTGCCCAGCAGGCAGCTGTGTGGAGTAGATGTTGGAAAACCAGCGACGGAAGAACAGCAGCTGGAGGAAGATGGTTTCTTCTGGCCAGTGTTCCCAGGCAGAGGCTTCTGAGCAGCTGTCTGCTAAAACAGCTCCAACACATACCAGGCCCACCACGTGAGAGGCCTGATCACCTCAGCTTCACTGCCACCTTCACCTCTCGCACCGCACCTGCGTTGATCTTCCTGGGCACAGATATCTAGGCCAGCTCACTGCAAAAGGAGCGACACCCAGCAGAGAAGAGACGAAGGATTGTCATTGGTGACCAGGCTACAGAGAGCCCAGGCAGCAGAAATTTTAAATGCTCATCCTGCATCATGAACCGAGAATGCCTTAAGATTATAGAACTTCTACTATTTACAGTAACTGGGAGGCCTCAGCACCTGACTTTACCTTCATACAAGTGTATATGTGTTACCCCCATTGACCAGGCTTAAAGGGACACTGGCAGACAAAATTAAGTTGCTTCCACGATTATCCCATGAGTTCTGCCTGTTCAATATACCCTTTACATGGTTAGACACAAGGATGGGCACACTGAAGAAGATACTTGGATCTTGATTGTTGGATGCCTGCAATACTCTGTTATATATGACGCCACTAAATCGATGCCAGTCAAATCCCAATGGGCTTCCCGGGTGGCTCAGTGGTAAAGAATTCGCCTGCCTGGACAGGAGACCCGGGCTTGATCCATGGATTGGGAAGAGCCCCTGGAGTAGGAAATGGCAACCCACTTTATTCCTGCCTGAGAGTTATAAGGGCTGAGGAGCCTGGCGGGCTGTGGTCCATGGGTTCCCAAAGTATGGGACATGACTGAAGTGAATGGGCACTCACGCAAAATCCTAACCCTGATTGTGTGTAGAAGCAGATCTGTCCTGGGTCACTTTAGATACCTCTGCAAGATGAGGACTAAAGACTGGGACAAGTGATCTGTTGGAAGGAAGAGGTCTCAGGCACAAGCTGAATCCAACTGAAGGCTTGGAAGGGACAAACCCTGTTGTGGCAGGTCCTGTGGTCCGTCCATTCACCAGTTTAGGGGCTTCTTCAGAGCCCCAGGGGCTGGGTTTGAGGTTGGAGTTTCTAAGCTGTTTTCCTCCGTGCCTGACAATCTAGCAGAGGAGACTGACAGCAATGGCATCTCCAGTTGGCTCTGGAGATAGTGTGGGCTAAGGAAAGTCAGAGAAAGTCTCTTGGAGGTTCAAGCGAGGGTTAACCATGGAATCTGGCTTTGAACAACGGGTGAGCATTTGCTAGACTAAGAACCATTTAACCTAACAGATCATGAGAAGCCAGGGAGGTGATCTCACTGGTGATTCTTGTATTGGTTAAGCCTCACATCATCTGGAAACTTCAAACCCACAGTGATTCTACCTCTGGTAGAAATGAAAATCTCAACAGCAGAGTCCCTCAACCTGCCCAATCTCCCACAAGATTCTGCTACTGTAAGTTTTGGCATTTGGGAACCGCCGGAAGGGCTCAGGAAAAAGATCTGACTTGGGTTTATGAAGGTCTGGTTGGCTACTTTGTAACAGTGAATGGTTTTACCATGAAATCAGTATCTACAGAAAGCTCACCAACAAATACAACCAACACCTCTCGTTAAAATGAATTAATTTTTATTGATATTTTATAAAGCTTAATACTTTGCTAAAAGAAAAAAATGAAAAAATTATATAGATAATACAGCCATTAGAAGATAGAGCAGAGCTACGTGATACAAAAGAAAGCAGTAAGCAGCAATAAAATACCTACACAAAACTAGCAGTGCAATAAGATAAAGCGGAAAGCAGCTTTACACTGGGAAAAAATGTTCTTTAAATACAGAAATAGCACCTTACAAAAAGGAATCGAGAAATGTAAACTTGGTAGGTAGATTCAAGTATAAAAGTTATACCCCCAACTCTTGTACCAGAATGAAAGGGTTTCACAAACCCTGGACAGTGCAGGGCGCACACACCTCCCTCAGTGCTGACTCAGAGCTGCATTTCCTTAGCAGGGTCATGGACAATCTTTTTTTTTTTTTTTCTTTTACAAAATTATACAATGATAGACTCAAGATTGCCACCAAGGCTTCTTCACCACCTCTAACATCCACCTCTAGCTCAGCTGTTCCACTACCATCAGCTGCTCTGTAACAAACAGATTCATATTCCGAGAGAAATGATCACTGCATTATTATTTCTACACACCACGGAGCCACATGAAGAAGTGGGTACTGAATACAAAAGGAACCTGCTCTTGGTTTTTCTATTGCTAAGTATGGTCACAGAATCATAATCTCATTTATGGGTTTGTCTGTTAACACTCCTCAAGAACCGTAAATCTTCTGAGGTTTATATGGTCATACCACGAACAGAATTAAAAAAGGATTGAGAAGTTAAAGTGGCAGGCATCCAAGAACAGTGAGGGGGAAATCAGTCTGTATTTTCATCTAAATGTAGCCCTCTGAAGTGAAGATATTCTGTGGATGGTCTGAAGCATGATATGTTTAAAATGTATCTATCTTGTATGGATTTATATGCCGTGTGTTTTACAATCTACTTGAAAAAAGGATATTTTTGTTTCGATAGGAAATCCATCCTATTACTTCAGGGTAATCATTACCATACAATTAGACTAGCAGAAGATGAGGACTGGACTTTTTATCTGTTTAACTCTAGCGAAGACTATGAAAAGGGGGGAAAAAAACCACCTTGTAAACTTTAAAAGTTTAGTGTTGATAAAAATTTTATATAATAGCAAATTTATTTAATCTGGGCTACCTACCTCAAGTTTTCAACAATCTTGTGGGGGTGATAAGGCTAATACCATCCTGTAGTTAATATAAAGCTACTTTATCAGACTCCCAGAGTCTCTTAAATTAATATTTTTATTCTTTCATATAACATTTTGGGTCCAAAAACAAAAATAAAATCCTACACCAAGACTCCAAATTTTAAAAGTTTAAAGAAGGAGAAAGGAACAAAGGAAGGAAGGAAGGAAAGGAGGGGAAAATGAAGGGGGAGAGGGAGGGAGAGTTGTGGGGGGAGGAGGAAGCCATCTGTTCTGAAGAGACCATGAGGTAAGTATCAACACATCTAGGCACGCAAAGATCTAGTTCGGCTACTTAATGAAATCCTCAAGGAATACAGTTCGACAAAGGGATACTGATAAGTCTCTAAAATTCCATTTATGCTAGAACAATGATCCCCTGCACTCTGTTCTCATTTTGCAGAACTTCTATGAAAAAATCACTGTGGTTTGAATACTTTGGGATTCTAAACATGTGTCTGTTTTCCCTCTTACTCTTCCCAACATGAAGAAAAAAAGTTAAAAAAAAAAAAAAAAAGCATCACCTATTGTCCTATATCAATCTTTACATTGTCATTCTTCAGAATTCTATTAAAACATCCCAACTAGGTCTCAATTTTCTGTAGAATTCCTTTCTACCATCCTGATTTATTCAATAAAAAAGCAATTGCTAGAAGACGTCCCATACCTGATACTCTACAGTTAACATTTAAATAAAAAACCACAAGGGCATGTAGTGAAGAAAACTGAACACGGTAGGTTTTTTCCTTTTTTTCTTTTAAGCAAATGATCAGTAAAACCTCACTGTTCACACAGTTATTGAGCAGCAGCTATCTGGCTGCTAGAGTTCATCTTAATGCTCACGCCCAGGTTGGGTTAGCACAGTTCATTATAGCAAGGTGTATCATTCACAGTTATTTTGGTCTTGACATTCCGTCATGTATATATATTTATCCACATTATTACTAGGTTGTAAAGTAAGTGCAGGGCAAATTATAGGAAAAAAGTACAAACATTCAAGTCGTCATACCCTGAAAAATATGTGTTTTGCTGTCGTTGTAAACTTTTTTGCACTAAATCCCACTTCACGAACAAAATAAATAATACCATAGGATTCACAACTGAAGCTGGCTTCCTGATGAAGCCGAAGGAAGCAGTAGCTTTTTTAAACTGCAGAAAGGAAGTCTCTCTCACCACAGATCTACTCGGGGTGAGCGGTAATACACGTCAAGAACATTCACCCCAGTTAAGTGCTAGACGCGCCCCTCCCCTTTAGAAAAACCACAAGGTTCCAGGAGGCTATTCAGATTTCCTTCCAGCAATAAGATGATTCCTGAATGAAAATGACAGAAGTCAGCTGATGCTTCCACTGTGACACCACGTACAGAGTCGGACACTAACTGGTATGAAATGCACAATTAGGAACAATTACTTGCAGGAATATAGATGCTTCATGAAGATGGATAGTTAACACTAGAACCAGGGGATGCAGGAGAGAGGAAGGATGCATGCTGGTTTCGGTTCAGCATTAGGACATGACCTGTGACAAAGGGAAATTCAGGCGCGTGGATCCTCATCTCTGCTGGGCAAAGCATCAGGTTAGTCTGCACCCCCGCTGGGGATTTCCAGTCTCCTCTGTGCCGAGCTGGAGCTTCGTGACTGATTCCTTTCTTTTCCCCTGAGGACAGGGTCCCCGAGGCTGCCAGGCGTCTTGAAAAACGTCTCTTGGTGTGTGCACCGGATGCTCTTGGGGGTCACTGGAACTGGAGACTGAAACAGGAAAGAGAAAAGTACATAAAAACGGAAGTGACCTCACATCGCCTCAAGTCTCTGAACTGGAAGCCCCCTCCTGACCTTTGCAGCTGTGATCCCCATGTAGGCGCTCCATCCTCTCTGCTTTTCTGTCACATTCATCCAACGTGTCTCCTTCACAACACTCATCACAGTTGGAAATTAGCTGACTTATTTTCTGCAGAAAGGTGGCCTAGCGAAGCGGTCACAAGCGGCTGGAGCCAGGGTCTGGGCTCTGCCATAACTAGCTGTGTGACCTTGGGCAAGTTACTTAACCGGTCTGTCCCGCAGTTTCCTCATCCGAAGACGGGGATGACCAAAGTACTGAATTAACAGGACTGTGAGACTTAAATGTGAGAGTATTTTTAAAGCACTTTAGATCATTCCTAGTGAGTAGTACGTGTATGTGTCTTTGCTCTTTTTGTTTACTTGCTAATATTTATCTTCTCATGTTAAACATTTACCCCTTTAACATGCCCTAAAAGGGCAGGAAACATTATCCTGTTTACCAGTATCTTTACTGCCTAGGTCAGTGCCTAACATATAACCGATCATCAAAAATACGCATATGGTATGTTACAATCCCCTTGTTTAAAAACATGTTGACTTCAATGTCTAGCAAACTTTTGAGCTTCAGATTACTTGTCTAAAAATAGTTGTGGCCATGGCATAACCCTTTCTCTGGGAGAGAAAGTAATTATTCTGAACAACGCCTAATGCAGTTCAACAAATGCTTACTGACTGAACTACAGGTGGAGCTGGGGGAAGTGAATAAAGTACTGATTAATTTATACTGGTTATAGACATTTACATATGTACATCTGTGTATATTTTGTGAGTATGTGTGTATACACACACACACACATATCATGGAAACAATGGGTATGTATTAATATATCCATTGCCTCCTAAACAATGCATTTTAAGAAATGATAGATGCTAACATTCATGGGGTCGCAAAGAGTCGGACACGACTGAGCGACTGAACTGAACAATCTGAGCTAGTAATAAGTCTTTCATTTCCCTTGACTATAGCTGCACAACTAAAATTCAGGATGGTCTCCTTTATTGACCTAATGAAATGAGAGCTTGGAGAAATCACCTGGATAGTCAGCATGCATCAAAAATCCCCCTGAACGATGAAGTCCCTTCAGATTCTAAGAAACAGATTGACGCCTAAAACTATTTTTGCCTTCAAAGCACAGGATCTCCCCCTTCAGTCTCAATACTTAATGAAATGAGCAGATGCCTCTGGGTCTACAGTGGACGCTAGCTAGAATCTGGTGTTGGATCCCCGTCTGAAAGTTGTTTGACTAAAGTCTGACTGTGTTTGTGCTAAGTGGCTTCAGGCGTGTCTGACTCTCTGCGACCACATGAACTGTAGCCTGGCAGGCTCCTCTGTCCATGGAATCTCCCAGGCAAGAGTGCTGGAGCAGGTTGGCACTTTTTCCTCCAGGGGATCTTCCCCACCCAGGGACTGAACCTGCATTGGCAGGTGGGCTCTTAACTACTGGCGCCACCTGGAAGCCTGATGCAATGCAGGCGAACCCCATCACGGCGTGCTGTGCCGCCCTGTGCCAGGCTAGCATGGACCCTCAGGACTCACCTGTCGTGATTTTACTGCGGGGGCTGGGTGACCTCCATAAGCGGGGGATCCAGGCTGCACGTTGCCATGTGACCTTGACATCACCGGGCTTAGGTGAAGTGAGCATGGCCCCTGAAGCTGAGGGTCGGTGGAGGGGAGTGTGGACGACTTTGGATTAACCAGGGTGGCAGGGCCGATGAGAAGATGGGCTGTTGATCCGAGGCCAGGCAAGCCAAAATTCACAGGTCCCGCGTTCGGGAGAGGGCTGGGAGCAGAGGACCCCGGCCCGGGCACCGTGGGAGAGCACAGAACAGGAAAGGCACCCAGCGTCGGCGACGGCACGACCACGCACGGAACGCTGAGCGGGGGCAGCGGGCCCACGGGCAGGCCCACACTATGGGGGCTCTGACTGCCAGACAAGAGCACGTTGAAACCATTTAATCCTGCCACGGAAGCAGAACAAGGCGGAAGTCAGTGCAAAGGGAAGATGCTATCCAAGCGCCCATGTTCGGAGCCTTCTGAAATGGGAGCCCGCAGTAAACTATCCACCTCCAGACCAGGCCACCCCTCCGTGCTCTTCCAGCACCCCCTCACTTCCTCGCAGCAATGGCCACCTCCGCGTGTCCACCTTTACTTGTGTGAAAATGTGGGGGATGCTCGCATCTCCCAACAGAGTTTATTAACATGGGCTCCACTGAACCCAAACTGAACCTGGATGGGAAAAATAATATCTTTCTTTTGATCAACTTCTAACTGAAATTTATATTTCCCTCACAGGCAACAAATCACAACCGAATGAACAGTACCTTGACACTGTCACTAGTAAAAAGCATGGGTGTATTCATATAATCTTACTTTGATGGAAGATTTTTGAGTCTAAAGCTCCCCACAAGTTGAGAGGCTTGGCGGATCTTCTTATCACTATAATTTAAAATAATTCTCCCAGCTGGATGTCAATGCAATTTGTCTCCTTTGTAATCCTATGTTTTTAATTTTCTGCATTTGTAAACACCCTAAGGAGGAGTCCATAGGCTTCATCATCGTGTCCAAGGACCCATGGCCCAGAAGAAGCTATTGATCCCTTTGCTGGACTGAAATTTTCATTCTGAAGAAGCTGGGTCTATTTTTTGTTTATTAAGGTATCAGTAACACTATCATGCTTAGGTGAAGCTCTCACAAAGTACTGGCTGAAGTAATAAAGAGTGTGTTTTAGATAAATGAATGGTAACAGATGCCCACCTAAGCTGTGACAGGAACAAGAAACTGAGGAGAATGACTGAGTCTCTTTGTATCAAGAGCAGCTTCATGTACACAGTGCATATCTTAAAAATTAGGTAGCTTATATTTCAGCTTTATTCCAAAAGAGGGCATTTACTGAATCTTCTAAGTGTCAGGCACTATTATTCTAAGTGCTCCAGATGTATTAGCTTATTAAATTTAATCTTGTTTTCATAGCACCCCCAAGAAGCAGGTGCTCTTATTATTGCTGTTTTACCAATTCAGGAGGGCTAGATACTTAATTTCACGCAGATCAGAAGAGGTTTGAATGTCCAGCCCCCTCACTCCAGTCCCGGCACTCAACCACAAGGACATGTCAGCACTTTGGGATATTTAAGTGGTCAGCGTGTGAGCTGCACATGGTGGCCAAGAGGTTCATATTGTGAAAATGAACCGATGCCAGACTCAGCTGAATTATAGAAACAGAAATGTCATTTGAATATTTGTGCTTTTTTTTTTTTTTTTACCAAGGAAAGTTGAATGCATTAAAAATAAATTACCTGCCCTAATGACTTTCTCATTATCTGTGAGGTTAGTGAAAGTGAAAGCAGGCTCCATCTTCATTTCATTGATGGAGAAAGCCAGGGGCTGGAGTGAAATGACTCAAGAGAGAGCCCCTCAAGACATCAGTCACATGATGTAAAGAGAAATGCAAACATGCAATGTGTAATCTGACTACCCCAAAGGCCTCGAAGACGTAATACCTCTTACCTGCTGGCGACTGCACATAAAGATACTGCAGCAGAGAGGGCTCTTTGGTGCTCTCATTTTCCTTCACAGGCTTTTCTATCTCTGTATTTCTAGAAGGATTTTCCCACTCAGAATAGACGAAGCCGTTTGTGGTAGCCTTTCCCAAAACTGCTTTTGTAGCAGAAAGTTGCCTGTTCGTGTGAGTGTCTTCATGGGGTGCAGAGGTCTTGGGAGAGGCGACGTCTGTGGAATCTGAAGGTTTCTGAGCAAAACCCAACCAGAAACAGAAAAGCAAATCAAATTCCCAGCAGTGAACTATCGTAACAGTTTTCTCCAAATGGCTAACCCATAAAATGAAAAGGTCAGGCACCACTGTGCGCCACCCTGATTTGTGTATGCCTGTCATTTCTGTCGTGTTTAGAGGAATGGTCTGAAGATCAAGGACATGCCAGGGGCTTCTGCAGGCTTAAGTTTCCTTAAGCACAGAAATGATGGAGATTTCAATAATGGGTATGTGAGCATGGTGTTTAGAAGGTGAAATAAATGACTGAGCTGGAATACACAAAGGGTGTTGATGGCTTCAGGCTTTTAGGGGTTGGATAAGAATTGCAGGGCTGACCCAAAGCCGTCCTGTTTATCTGAGACATATATAGGCATACCAGTCAGTCTTTCCCTGCTGTTCTGCAGCCACAGGCTATATACAAAACTAGAAAAATCCATTTTGGCAAGAGGAACGCATAGAGGAGGAAGGGTCTTAATTAAGGGACTGATGTCCATGAAGTGTGCTTCGCTGACCCTCTACAAATGGCTGTGATGACAGTGCTTCTGCTTTCTGGGAGTTTTACTGGTCATATCGCATTGACCTCCAAAGGCTACTAAGCAGGGGATGCAGAGAGCTCAGAGTTTTATTCTTTTATTCTAGAAAAATGGGCTCCCTGAGCAGTGACATGAGCACTGACACAGACGCAGAGCCAGCGGCACCGCGTTCCTGACCTGGACCTCAGGGGCACCCTGGAGCAGATGGTTATTTCATTGACGTGTTAAAAAAATAAGGCAAAACAGTCTGGGAAAGGATATATAAACATGTTAACAATGAATGGCGCTTTTTTTTTTTCTGTTTACTTTTTAGCATTTTATGCCAAGTGTGATTTTTCTAAAAATTACTTTTATTCAAGGACTACTTTATGGCCAGGGCTCCCCTGATAGCTCAGTTGGTAAAGAATCCACCTGCAATGCAGGAGACCCTGGTTCGATTTCTGGGTTGGGAAGATCCACTGGAGAAAGGATAGGCTACCCACTCCGGTATTCTTGGATTTCCCTTGTGGCTCAGCTGGTAAAGAATCCACCTGCAATGTGGGAGACTATTTTTGGGTCTCCAAAATCACTGCAGGTGGTGACTGCAGCCATGAAATTAAAAAATGCTTGCTCTTTGGATGAAAAGCTATGACCAACCTAGACAGCATAATAAAAAGTAGAGACATTACTTTGCTGACAAAGGTCCATCTAGTCAAGGCTGTGGTTTTTCCAGTAGTCATGTATGGATGTGAGAACTGGACTATAAAGAAAGCTGAGTGCTGAAGAATTGATGCTTTTGAACTGTGGTGTTGGAGAAGACTCTTGAGAGTCCCTTGGACTGCAAGGAGATCCAACCAGTCCATCCTAAAGGAGATCAGTCCTGGGTGTTCATTGGAAGGACTGATGTTGAAGCTGAAACTCCAATACTTTGGCCACCTGATGCGAAGAACTGACTCATTGGAAAAGACCCTGATGCTGGGAAAGATTGAAGGCGGGAGGAGAAGGGGATGACAGAGGATGAGATGGTTGGATGGCATCACCAACTCAATGGACATGGGTTTGAGTAGACTCCATGAGTTGGTGATGGACAGGAGGCCTGGCATGCTGCAGTCCATGGGGTCACAAAAAGTCGGACACGACTGAGTGACTGAAATGAACTGAAAGGGCACAAAATACCTCTAATTAAACATTTATTTGATTTAAGGAATTAATCTGTAGTAAAAATACCAAAGTGACTCAAGATCAAAAATTACCATATATCATTCATTTCCAATTACATGGGATATCTTTAAGACTGAAGTATCATTCAACTATCTACTATACTTCTTGGGTATTTGGATTTTTTTCAGTATACATAGAATCCTGTTATTTCCCACTATGCACCTAGAAATCAGAAAACTGATTTCAAAATACTGAAATTGAACTTCTTTATTACACATATTAGTTTCCCTCTTTTTATTCAGAAATCACTTAAGCAAAAGAATTTCACCTTAACTGTTTTTTATGTCCCTGCAACCTGGCAGTGTTTTACTCACCATAGGAGCTCAGTAATTTGTGTCAAATGACTGAATCAACGATGCTAGCAAGATTTGTTTGGAAAATCATTCAGATATTACATATGATATTGAAAAGTGTCAAACTGAATCTGCCATTTAGCATAGATTTCATCAGTTAAGATTTGAAATGAGAGTTTTTTTTAATCGATACAGAGTCTAAAAACACTGAAGGCATGCTTGAGCTCTAAGCCAAAATGGTGTATTGGCATTCTCTGCATCTGAGAAAGATTCTATTTCCATCTGTGGAGGAGAGCAGCAGAAATTCCTGGATCTATTCACATCTTCAAGGAGATTCCCCGTGAAAGGAGGAGGTTTACCTACCACTTTCTTCTTTGCCAGCTCTTGTTTCAAATACCATTCTAGCAAAAAGACACATTCTTTTCTTCTATAACATTCTAACTCCAAACAAAATGAAATAAAAGTTAAATGTGAGTTTCTTCAGCAACACAGTGATAATAAAGCCAAGATCATTGCTTTAATTCCTAGATGTGTCCACTAGAGAAAGATCAGGGCATGAAAATAGCTTTCTTGAGTCACAGCTGATTAATGATGACTTAATAAAAGACAAGAGAAAAGACTACTATACACTTTACATTGAACTAGCTCACCTAAGGTAAGCATTATATATTTGACAAGTAAAGAAATTGACTTCCCAAGGTTATAACTAGGAAGCAGAGGTGCTAAGATTTGAACTCAGATCTGATTGATTCCAAAAGCAGTGCTTTTGCTGAGGCAACAGAAGGCCCTCGGTTAACACCAAGGGCAGATGGCTTACAGTAGGCCATCTTTGCTAGTGGCTAGTTAATTCAGCATACACATCTGATTAACACTAGATAAGTGGTGTCCTTTTCTATCTGGAAGGAATGTCTTATATGAGATGAGAAATGCCAAAGTTAGGACAAATCAACCCTCACTAAAAACTTCAAAGGGACACATAAAATCAGATTAGTACGAAAAGAACAAGATGCATCATTATCTCTTTACTGTTATTTTTGGATTTGTGTTCTCTGTGTTTTTCATACTAACTTCCTGAAACTTCAAGGTTAATGTCTCAGCCAGGCTCCAACTTCCCAGATGACCTTTATCCCAATTACCCTTTGATGCAACACCTGCTTCAAAAAAATTAACCTTCAAAATACTCCTGAAATGGAACTTTCTCTATAGATCTGTATCCGCTAAAAAATAAGCACCTCCCCCTCATCTTCCACTCACTTTTGGAGTTAAACAAGTTGTTTATAAAGTTCATTTGAGAGAACCAACAAATAATAGTCTGGAAAACAAAGAGCAATGGTGAGGAAGCCAGTCCTACTATAAAGGCTTAAATATTAAAACTGTATCATTTTGGTGCACTGATAGGCAGAACAATGAGACAATGAAAATCCAGAAGTAGATCCAGCTGCACATGGAAATTCAGTATATGATAAAGGCAGTATCTCAAATTCATGGGGGAAATGGACTTTTTAATAAGTAGCAATGGGTAAACTTGAGAGCTATATATAAATTTTCCAAACCTGAGAATGATATAAACCCAGATTCCAGAAGTTTAATAAACCCCAAAAAGAATAAGTGTACACACACACACACACACACACACACACACACCCCACAAACCACACCAAGATATCAAAGTTCAGAAAACTAGGAAAAATTAGAAAATCTTAAATACAGACAGAGGAAAGGATATGGTACATACAGAGATGGGCTTCCCAGGTGGTTCAGTGGTAAAAAATCCTCCTGCTAGTGCAGGAGACATGGGTTTGATCCCTGTGTTGGGAATTTCCCCTGGAGAAAGGAATGGCAACCCACTCTAGTATTCTTGCCTGGAAAATCCCATGGATAGAGGAACCTCAGTTGGACATGACTGAGCAACTGAGCATGCACATACACAAAGAGGAACAAAAAAAGAATGATCACAGATTTCACATCCAAAAGAATATAACAAGAAGACAGTATCTTTAAAATATTTAAAGAAATTGTTGCCAACTTAAAATTCTATGCCTAAAAAATATCCTTCAAAATAAAGGCAAATAGACACTCTTAGAAACAAAAGCAGAGAGAATCTATTACCAGGAGACATGCACTGCAAGGAAGGTTCTCAGACTAAAAGCACAAAAGAGAATGGAAAACAACTGGCAGTGGCAAATATGAGGATTCATGTGAAAGACTCTTTTACTCATTCATTAATTTCATTAAGTGACAACTGACTAAGAGCAAAAAATAATGACAAGATATTGTGGAGTTTATAACATATGTATTGATAAAATAAATGACAATAATAATCACAGGATAAGAGGGGGAAATAGAGGTATATCAACTGTAAAGTCCTTACATTATACAGGAAGTGGTACCTTATTATTTGAATCTAGACTATAACAAGTTAAAGATGCTTATTCCAAAGCCTACAGCAACCTCTAAAAAAAAATTAATGAGAAAGAGGGAGCAATAAGAAGCCAATAGTAAAATTCAAATGGAAGACAAAAAAATATTCAATCTCAAATAAGGAAGGAGAAGAGGAAAAAAGAAGGAATGAAAAACAGCATAAATATAAAACAAAGAGGACTACCGTAAACTTAAAGACAAATACATTGATGATTACATTAAACATTACTGAAATAAATACTCTAAAAGTCAGAGATTGTCACACTGGAGTTTTTTCAAAGTTATATCCAACTGTAGGCTGTTTAAAAAGTGCGCTCTATAAGCTAAAAAGTGAAGTATGGGGGAAATACACCATGCAAATGCTAATCATGAGAAAACAAAATAGCTACATTAACAACAGAGATAATAGGTATCAAAATAAGGAACAAGAGCAATATTTTATGATGATAAGACAGTAAATGCATCAAGAAGATGTAACAATATTAAATGTGAATTTACTTAATAAAAAAGCTTCAAAGTAGAGAAAAGCAAGAACTACAGATTTGAATGGAGAATATACAATCCATGAGCATAAATTGAAGACTTCAATATTCCTCTTCCAGTAATTGATAGAACAAGTATACATAAATTCAGTAAGAACACAGAAGACAAAACTATAACCAGTTTGGTCAAACTGACAATTATAGAACACTATAGGCAAAAACAACAAAACAAAATTTTTTCAAGTGTATATGGAACATTCACCAAGATAGACCTTACACTGGACCATAAGACATGTCTCAGTAAATGTAAAAGGACTAAGATCACATGGAGCACATTTTCTGACCATAATGGAATTACATTAGAAATCAATAATAAACAGATAGTTGGAAAATCCTCATATTTGTAAATAACACATATATGAATTGAAGAAGAAATCTCAAGAAAAATACTATGGTATCTTGAACTGAAGGGTTAGGGTTATGGAATATGGTATATTCAGGACAGAGATAGAAATTCATATTCTCAAAATATGCCTTGGGTATCATTTACATATATAAATATAATTATATTTATATTTCCTAGTTCTGTTCACTGAAAATGCCTAAAATAATGATCAGCCCCAATAGCAACAACATCTAATCTGTGTTGTCCAAATACCATTAACCACCAAAAAGAGCCAGAATTTTTAAGATAGACAGTTGATCCCATGTCTGAGAAGGAAAATGTATAAATGGATCACAATAAAAACCAAAGGAAGCTACCAAAGACTACCCCAGTCAAAAGGACTCAGATGTCAAATTAAAGAACCCACCACTGGCCAAAGATGGGACC